ATAGACCGGGAAGAACGGGACTCTGAAGACGAGTCTGGTGAGATGCCTAATGTCGTTTGTTTGCTTTGACGGCGACGAACCAGACAGCGCATCGCGTTTCTTCGACTCCCAGCCGAGCCATCGTGAGCACGCAGAGAGTGATGTCGCCATGAGATTTTTTCTGTATACACACAGCCCACCACGACGATAGTGAGCGTGAGGCCTGAAAAGCGGTATATATACAACGTACAGATTTATCGATTGTTAATCACGAACCTAATCACGGACTAAATCAATTACCAAAAATCGAGTGACATATTGGGTCAGAAAACGAGAGCATCAAGAAATCGTACACCGCAGTCGTGGCATTTAACGCATTCCGTAGCCCTTGCCCTAAATTATATTATGTTAATTTATGTATGCTTCGGTACCGCACCGATAAACTATTAACCCTGTAGTATTTCATGTATACGTCATCGTGCAAAACTCAAACGACTATCATGTCTTTTAACCAATACCATGGAGCACTGGACCAATTTTTATAAAATAGTTCAAGCATTTATTGTTTCTATCGAAGAACGAGACACATATTTGCCCGCACACACCTTCTACCGTTGTGGGTTCTGTATGTTTAAAAACAAGACGTTTTCATTCATTCATGTGGCGTCTTCACCACTATATGATCTCTTCTATCAACTTAACTTTTTTTTTCTTCCTTTGAGTACAGAGGACTGCCTTCGGTAGTAGCTTGGGTGTCGATGCACTGAAACATTGCCGGGCGTGGCCGTGCACGCAACTTTTTCCAGAACGAACTGCCGCACCGAAATGACTTCGAGATTTGCAGCAGCGCGGAACAAAAGAGGCACGTGTGAGTTGCGCCACGCGCACAAATGAACCGTCGCAGACGGTTCATTTGTTCATTTGTTCATTTGTTCATTTGTTCAAACCCGAAGTTCGGGTTTCGCAATGGGTGGCCGGGACCCGTCGACGTATTGCGTCAAAACGCATCAGCAGCCCTCTGCTCAGCTGGGTCGCGCACCTTGAAGCGGCCACACCAAGTCCCACTACGGCATTCTTTGCCCCTGGCATAGACAACCTATAGCCACCACAACGTAGCGCCCTAATAATAACCCCTTCTCTGCCCTCGCCGACGTAAGGTCGTTCCCGCTGACCGGTTGCCAGCTGGCCTTTGGGTCCCAGTTCCGGCGCACATTCCAGCGTCCTTCAGTCACCGCACAGGACGAAGAAAGGCTCGTTCTGCACGATACGCACCATCGCGCATTTGTGGAGAGGTGAAAGCGATTGAACAGGGAGGGCGTCAATGCCACGCTTGTCAGCGCAGGGGACATCGCCTCAAGACGAGGCCGTCAATCATGGCATAATACGCTTTTGTGACTGCAGTCGTTATCACAGGATTTCTGTCGGACGAGTATATTATGCCGCCGTATTTACTTTTTGAGCTCTTCTGAAAAAAAAAACACGAACGGGCCCTGACGCTGCATAATATTAAAACGGAAGGTAGGTATGGTATGTGGGGTTTAATGTTCCAAAACCACCATACGAATTTGAGAGACGCCGCAGTGGAGGGCTCCGGAAATTTCGACCACCTGAAGTTCTTTAACGTGCAACCAAATTTGAGCACATGGGCCTACAGCATTTCCGCCTTCATCGGAAATGCAGCCGCCGCAACCGAAATTCGATCCCGTGACCTGCGGATCAGCAGCCGTGTACGTTAGCCACTAGACCACCGCGGCGGGGCTTAAAGGGAAGGTAACCGGGCAGTGGAAGAGGACTATAAGCGAGCAGCTTCGTGAATGAGGACCCTGTTTATTCAAGACCACTTCTGCGTGTTTTTGACGCAGCTGTATTAATTTAACGACCCTGTATCTTTTTCGTGCTTTGTCGCCTTCGTTTGTCACCAGCATCGGCCGACCACGACCTATTGTAATTAGGAAAGAAGTTGAATTGCAGCGAAATCAGTTATACTGACCCATTTTTATACTTGTGTGTAAATGCATCATCTTGAAAACAACGCATCAACACGAGGGCGAAGAGAGATACGACGGCACGTCAGAATGACTTTTCCTAGATATTTTGATTGATTGATATGTGGGGTTTAACGTCCCAAAACCACCATATGATTATGAGAGACGCCGTAGTGGAGGGCTCCGAAAATTCCGACCCTGAGCACACGGGCCTACAACATTTCGGCCTCCATCGGAAATGCTCCTACATATTTTAGGGATGAAGTAGAACAGAAGTGATGACAAAGCGCTTTTAGAACTCGCTACCCGGTATGGACAGAAACTTATAAAAGCGTCTAATTTGAAGCAACAAAATCGTTCCTTATAAAGGTATGAACCAACATAGGAGAGTGTCATAGGTTAGCCAGCAATTAGCTTGCAGTCATAAGTAAACACGGTTATCTCAATCCCACACGAATGAGATTGCCGTGTCTTAGAAAGCGCCCGTCTTCGTCGTTTCTTTTGCTCTGCTTCGTGATCTCCTACGCAATCTTAGCACATTAATACTTTCTTGAAAGTGTCCCCTAGGCTTTCAGTTTTCTATTGTTTGTACACGAGTGTCTCATGTGCAAGGCGCTCTCCTGTAGCGATACAACAACTCTCGCAGTCTATACAGATGATGTCAAAAGTATGCACTAGAGGAGACGAGACGAAGTGCAGGCAGCATACGCATATTCCGTTTTTCTCACATTAGCCCAATCTGCTCTTTCACAATTGCAGAATCACCACGCTTGCCGCAAGAGGACGCTTGGCTTGCGAAAAAAACGCGCAGAAAGAAAAAAAAATGCGGGATTCACCACCGCCTGGGCCTTTACATCCCTGCCCCAAAAGCAGTGAAGTCACAGATTGTGACCGTGCTGACTAGGCCCGGCTTATTTCGTCATCCACAAAAATAAAACACATTGTCTTCGGAGGGAGTCACCGACTTAACGTACCAAGTTTCAGACTCTGAAACTTGGCACGCTATTGGCTCAATGGAGCTTGAAGCTTCATTGAGCCAATGTCTTCCCAAAACAAAATATACGCTGCGAAACTCTCGACGTCAAGTGCGGAGATTTCGGCGCGAAATCTGAAAATTGAACTTCTATATACTCTAATAACAAATATGTGGTATTAAAATTAACATCGTTATAGATCGCAGACCATGATTTAGCAAAATAAACCGGTTCACTGTTTCACTTTATTGCGCCGTCTCAACCCAGAGAAAGCCTTCCGCCTCTAGTGTCTAGAGGCAGAAAAGAGAAAGAGAGATTGTCTTGCGTCAGTTGATCGAAGCCCGCCCGGGTTCATGAATCCATCAATACCGAATTCCCAGTGCTGCACCAACAATTATTTCATATTATGCGACGTCATTGGGTTCAACATTATGGTACGCAGAACGTAACTAAGCCTCGTCAACTACGCCCCATCGCCTATTGTTACATGGGGCTGACCTATAGCGACAACCACGAGGAACGAGACAAGGTGCATCACACGTGATCGACGTTGTGAGACTGCAAGTATACGCGCGCTTCACGTAAATACTAGGGCTATCTGTACGTGCCCACTGCGCCAACGTTTGAAGTCCAACTGGTACCGGGACTGCGTTAGCTGCCACGTAGGGCACGAGGCCTGCATTTAACGGCATTTCCGGTACTCCGAGAAAAGAGTTTAATTAAGACATCTTGTAATCTCAAGTCTACAAGAATGTAGAGGAATCTACAAAGCGCCGAAGGCTAGAAATCGACGCATTGCGCATCTCGGTTCGTACAAGACGAGCAACGAACATTTAATTCATCATGATGGAACAGCACAGCCATTTCTGGGATGAACATTGCCATTCTGGAATGAACTTATGGGATGAACTTCTGTGATGAACTTCTGGGATGAACTTCTGGGATGAACTTCTGGGATGAACTTCTGGGATGAACTTCTGGGAAGCCATTGTGGGATGAACTTCTGAACATTGTCAAATCCCTCAATTCTGCCAACTTTTGTAATGGCGGCATTTTAGGCCAATCAAAGAGGCCGTAGCAGCTCTCTTGGTGAGTCAGAATTGGCCAATGGTGGAATTGACAGCGTGGCTGAATTTGACAGTGTATGGAGTAACATCACGGCAAAGTAACTGTTTACTTTTTGGGAGTAAGCCACATGTGCGTACGCGTAATGCATTGAACAGCGAAAATTTGTGGGTGGCGGGTTGTTGCAATCTCCATTCTTTTCTGGCCACGCGAACTTTGCGAATGTCGGTATAAAGAATGAAATAACCGCCAGCCTTGCAAATGTAAAGAAAACGCTGGAGCCGTACGTCAACCCTAGCATTTGAGTAAACTCAGGAAAGGAGTTTTTACCGCAGGTACGACCTGGCAGCCTATTTGGCTTAACCTCCCTCATCCCTCACCCTTTCGATGAATTAAAGTTGTCACTCACTCCACATTCAAAGGATATATCTTTAAAAATGTTCACAAAAAACCCGATAATATCTATAGCGTCTATTAAAGACGTTTCGAGCATTGCAAAGTGTTAAATAGTGCGGCATAGGACATTATTAATAATAATAATAATAATAATAATAATAATAATAATAATAATAATAATAATAATAATAATAATAATAATAATAATAATAATAATAATAATAATAATAATATTATGTCATGGCGTACATAGTACAAATTTACACTGGACAACGTCTGCCTGCTGCAGCTGCCCCATTACAAAAAAAAAAAAAAATTCTGCTTGCGCCCTTGGTCAAAGGAGTGTTTCGAAATATATCAATGGTTCGATTCTTCTCTAGAGCAAGCCATGGGCGTCAGCAGGGGGGTGCAAAAGGAACGCTTGCCCCCCTCAAGCCTCACCAGCACTTACTTTCACCCAAGCTACACTAGTGTTCCCTCCCTCCACCAGACCCGATGTAACACTTGTTTGCACCCCCCCCCCCCCCCCCCAATAAAAAAAAATACTAGCGACGACCATGACGCAAGCTTACGAGCCCATGACGAAAAAATAGGTACGCACCATTGTCCCTTCGTTCCTTCTATAGGAAGATTGCGCTGATGAAGAATTAAAAATGGTTCGAGTCCCGGCTGCGGCAGCTGCATTTTCGATGGAGGCGGAAATGTTGTAGGCCCGTGTGCTCAGATTTGGGTGCACGTTAAGGAACCCCAGGTGGTCGACCGGAGCCCTTCAGTACGGCGTCTCTCATAATCATATGGTGATTTTGGGACGTTAAACCCCACATATCAATCAATGAGGAAAAATTAAAGGGTTGACATTGCACATCGCCAGTTTACCGTACGGTATTCACCGTCACTGCTGAACGGCTCTAACAGCGGAGGGGCGTACGTGCTCTTGCCGTTCAGTTGCGTCTTGATGGAGACACACACTCCCGTGACGCAGATGAGTCACTGCTGTGGCGCGGCGGCCCGTTCTGACAAGTGCTTGATACAACGCAGCTATGGAGCTCCGGGTTCTGTCTGCCGCAACCCTTAACCACCTGGGTTGCCCAAATAGTTAGTAACACTCATATCTGGGGATTTACGTCTCAAAACCACGACGTTATTACGAGAGGCGTCGTGGAGGGCTCTGGAAATGTCGACCATGTGGTGTTCTTTAACGCGCACTGCCATCGGCAAAATAGTTAAGTATAATAAGCGAGATCTGACTGTGGACATGCATATCAGTGTACGTGTTATACACTGTAGAACGTTTTTGTATTAGGAAAACGCAAACGGCCAGGTTTATAAAAGAACGCAAACAAGGCGTGTGGCACAGCGCACGCATGGGACCCTCTGAGTCGCTCAAACAGTATGAGTTCAAAACTCAGTGAAAGTCTACAAAAAAGGCAAAGAACTGCGTTTCTTTGCAACACGTCAATATTACAAGATTTATATACTACAATGCACATTTTTTTTGAGCAGTTGAACCTGACCACTGCTTTCCCCATAAAAATGAATTCATAAAAGTATTATCACTGCCCGAGTATCGATCAGGATATAGCCCCCCCCCCCCCCTCCCCCAACCCTGACTCTCATCGACAAAATAAATTAACGGGAGAAAAATCGTTGTACCAAGTATTTTCATGACTTCCTATTGCACCTCAACATAAACACTACTGGTAACAGCGGTATGTACGAACAAATTGATTGAGGGATTTTATATGCTGTGGGACGAAGACTGCCGATAAGGAAGATAAAAAAAAAGGTAAGAAAAAAAAATAGCTATGGCCCATGGACATGCCACTGAGTTTGTATAGTATCACGTGGGCCTTAACTTGTAAATGACAAAGTATTTCTGACTATTGATTAATTGTGTTGTTAGTGGTTTTCACGTCCCAGAATTGCGTTGTCGCGAAAGCTTTTATGCACGGGGACACAATTCAATACGGGAAATTTCGGTGGACATCGATGAAAACAACCCGGGTATATCATTTGGCGCAGCCTCCGTAGAAAGCGGATTTCCGCATTCGGGGCGGCGTGCCGCTCTTGGGCAGACGCAGTACAACGCGTACTATAGAATTACCCCCGCGCGTTCCGCTGATCAGCTGGGCATGCGTCGGTACATGCATGCAGCTATACACGTTTGAGGAACCGCAACAACTGCGCACTTGTCGCCCCAGCCCAACCCGCGGAATATGGCATATATGCGAGGCTGGAAAGCAGTGCACGTAACTCGGGACTGCTGCTCATTGAAGTCAACAGCTTCGTCGAGGTCGTGCCCTCTATTCATCTTCCAGTTGCCTGCGCACACACTTCCATAGATCTTATGTTCCCTTACGTAAATTTGGGAGAACTTATGTCGACGTTTGGAAATGACGCCGCATACTGACTAGCCGTCAGATAATAATCGTTGGGGTGTGTATAACGTCCCCGAAACATTGTGATCATGCATGGGACGTCGTAGTGAACAACGTTTATAGAATCTGTTCTATAAACGTTGGTTCTATAAACGTTGGTAGTGGAGGGCTCTGGAAATTTCGCCCTCCAGGGGTTCTTGACGTGAACCTAAATGTAAGTGCACGGGTCTATCGCATTTTCGCCTCCATCGAAGATCCGGCTGCCACGGCCGGAGTCCGCAACATTAGCTGCGAAGTCAGAGCAGTGGAATTTACACAGACCTAGTTTGTGTGGGGCTACCAGCAACGGCCAAGACATGATACGTCCGTACGCGCATGTGAAACACAACATGCGTTTCACACATGTTGTAACCAGATTTTTTTTTTTTTTGGGGGGGGGGGGGGGTTGTACCTTTACTATCTCCCCCCCCCCCCCCCAGGCTACGCCATTGATATGTATATACACACAACATGGCATGGACATGAAAGTGTATAATCCCTCTCTACCGAAATAAAATTCCGACAAGTGACTATCGCTCTTGATGTGACTACGAGGTTATATGTATACTTTGTTCTTGACAGCTATATCTATCTGAAGGTCATTCTAGCTTCTTGCTTACGTTCAAAAGACGGACCAGAAAAGCTGCTTCCGTGAATCCGCAGAGAGCCGTGCAAAAGAAGTGCGTCACCTGCATGATATAAGGCCGCATTTTGCAAGAAGACTGTAACATACAACTTTGACCTCGTGTACTGTACGTCTGCCACATTTCCCCACTGACTCTACTACATTCGTGCTTCCAAATATTGAAAGGAATATTCCTTCCAAATAGCTCCGGCGTTCCGTGATCACGCTAAAGTTTTCACCACCCCACCCTCCTTTTTTGTTGCCTTGAAAGCTTCCATTAATTTGTACCTGTTTGCCGTTGGTGGTTTAGCGCGCACTTCCCCAACGCAGTTAGCTGAGGCTCATCAAACGCCTGGTGTCGCAATAACGGAAGGACAAGTGGATGCTGGGGGTTCAGGAAGCCTTGGTGTTGTTTCCAAGGGATTAATCTTTTGTGTGTCATTTATTCAACATGGCGGCTGTAGATGTGCGCAGTTTACGGCTTTGCCAGCAGCTGACTAGCTATGGTCGCAATTGTCGAGACAGTAAGATCCAAATGACACGAACAGTAACACAAACACATGTGCCACATCTGTAGCATACATGCACAACAGCATCACACAGTTTCAGTGCCTCGATGGATGGTTTTGCAGGGAGTGTCGCAAACAAGTGAAATGGCTTAAGTTTGTACGATGCAGCGCTCCTGCATGTATTATCATATTGTTTGACACATTTTGCTGACACCAAGGTGTGTTTTTGGCTCAGTGTTGCGGCAATCAAATAAGAAACGCATAAAAAAAACCACGGAAAAACACTTGTACATCACTGTGGCCAACTGCATCGATTCGAACTGCTGTGGTCATGTGACCATCGTACTTGAAGCAGTATTAGTAAGTTTATGAAATTAAAAGCCTATTTTCTTAATTTCGAAAGCGATACAACTTCTTATAACGTTCTAAGTAAATTATTGAAAAAAAAATTGAGCGATTGGCAAGGGGGTGTCGACACCACATAGAAGAGCGGCCGTATGGTATAAAAGCGCGCTGCCCGCCGTTTCGCCATGTTTTGGTCGATGTTATGCTTCAACAGTGATTGAACGAGCATCGCCAAACTTGCTCTCTCTCTTCCGATCCTTTCTCGCTAAATTAATCTTGAAGTACAGTTTGAGATCCCGTCCGCCAAGCAACCGAAGAAGATGGCCCAAACACAGCCCCGTCAGAACTACCATGTCGATTGCGAAGCCCGCATCAACAAGCAGATCAACTTGGAACTCTACGCGAGCTACGTCTACACATCAATGGTAATACAACGCATAATTCAGCATTGGCACGGCCACTCACCTACGATACCTGTGTCGTCTGTTGCGTGCGCAATCTGCTCTGTCAGCATTCCACTGAAGTACCTCAGAGTTTCGTCATAAATCGCCAAGTAATGGTGAACACATGGCTTTCCAGTGATGTCGCTCAGTAATCGTTACAGCTTCTGATTAAATTGCCCGTACACGCACAGTGCACGTGACTACTAGTCCGTTGTTCTCTTACGCGCGTTTTGGAGATCCGTGCCAGCTCGTGCAGAAACGTGCCCAAAGCTGTCGCCGCCCCCATTAAACGGCGTAGACGATTCTTTCGTAAACATCCACTCGCTTCTTTCATCCTGTTGGATTGGCACCTTACGACAGTCGTGAGGTTATTGCGATTGCCAAGGCAATCACATTTTCCAAGTTCGCCTTATCTGTTTCTTACGGCGCAAATTTTCCGTGCCAGATCAATGTTGACGGACGCCCCTGATAAAACATCTATTCCTACCAGCACCAGTCAACTATTAAAAGTATTCGCTGTCGGTTAGTTGCAGTCAAATATGGCCCTTTTGCATTTCACAATCTTGTTTCTATGTTTTAAACAGGTGAAAAGGTTCGTGACATAGAAGCACGGTTTCTCACTCGAAAATCAACCTCGGCGCTGCTCGACCACATAGGCAGTTAAAAGAAAAACCTGCCCCTTGTGTACATAATCGAAGTGGCATTATTGACATTACGTAAGAACACGTTATATGTAGACTGCTGTAGAAAAGCGTTTTGAAGTGTTAATTTCGAAGGACAGTGAAAGCGACACTAGTCTGTGAATTATTTGTTCTTTATGGGGTTAATAGCCATGCCGTGGAATAGGGGGTAATTACATAAGTAATATACATCAAAACGTTGATAAATGCAAAGTTCTCATTTATACTACCGAAGTTATGCCATGCTGGTTCAAGGTGCAAGGTACTCAAATCTAGTTTCCCGAGAATAGAGGATCACCGAGAATCTTGGGGGGGGGGGGGGTTAAGTGTAAATTACTATAATATGCGAGACCTACATCAGGTAGCAAGCATGAATGGGCGCTTAGAAATAAGGCTTGGTTTGATGCATGTTCATCAATACTTAGGTCTCCCGAAACAACTACTAAAATAATCATGGACATAGTGGTGGTTGGCTGTCTGTGCAAATGCCCACGTAAGTGGTAATACTCTATAGGTGGTTACAGCTTTAGAGGTCGGCGGCATTTCATCCTCAAAGGTGGATGCACCCAAGCCTGCACCAGACGACCGTTGGCCCCGCCTGCTGAGAACGTTGACAAGAACGGGATAATTTCTTTAGTATCTGAGGTGATCAGCTGCTGCGC